CAAATTTTATTTACAAATCTCTCATCTTTCATGTGATTTCATTAATGTCTATTTCTTCTTTCTTTGATGTACTTATAAAAAGAAGAATCATAGACATAGGATAATTAGTAGGTATTTTTATCTTAGATGCTTACTATGATTTTTGAATATCCACCCCAATTTTTTTCCTTTCTCTTTTTGCAAGAAATCCTATTGCTTCTTTGACTTCTTTTCAATTTTTTGTCAATCCTTTTTCTTTTTCTTTATCTTCAAATAAAATTTCTAACTTTTCTTGTAACTTTCCATTAGCCACTTGAAGAAATAGCTCCACTTTTCTTGGATCTAGTAATTGTCTTTCATCCTTTGATAAATAAAAATATTATCTTTTTAATCCTCTCAATAATTTTGTTGTTTAAAGATCCTTCTTAGACCTTTTAATCTACTCAATAAATAACTTCTTTGTAATTTATTCACTATCTTCTGAGAATAATTCATCTTTTAATGCTTTAAAAAAATTCTCCCATAAACCTCTAAAATATCCTATAATGGACTTTATATGATTTTTTTATTTCTAGTAAAAATGCTAATTTAAATAATTTAACTATCTCCTTCTCAAAAACATACTTCAATTTTATTTCTTTTATATAACACCTTAAATACTTTGTAATATCATTTCCTTCAAATTGATCAATCTTATCTACAATTACTTATAATGCTTTGTTTGCCATACCTTCTTTGTAATCTTTAATCTATTATTGTTGCATGAATAAAACAAAAGCTTCAAATATGTTTATAGAGTTGGAATCAAAATACATACCTTGTCTTCCACTTCTAGCTCCACTTCCAACTCTGATTGAAGCACCAATTAATGTACCACCAAAAGCTCCTCCTTTAATTCTCTTGCCTTTCTTCTCCATAGTTCAAATAAACCAAAAAATTCCAAATACCTTCCACTTCAAGCTTTTTACATCAGGTTTATCAAATTATATTATATTGTATGAATTTTACTTAAGAATGCATTAGATATTTAATTGTAGAAAGAAAAATAGAGCTTGCAAGAAGATAATCCTAAAAACTTTAATAGAATCTTAAATAAATTCTAATTAAATTATAAAAATATTAATTAATCTTTAATTAAATCCAAAAAAATCTTAATAACTTACAAAAAAAATATAAAGAAATAATAAATTAATTTTAATGAAATATATAAAATATAAAAATCTTAAAGGAATATCAAAAATAAATATCTTAATTTAATCTTCAAATTTTTTTGATAAAATCCTAAATAAATCCTAATTAAATATTAATCCAAATTCTAATGAAATCCTAATAAATTCTTATCTAAATTCTAACAAAATCCTAATCAAATCCTAAGCCTTAACCAAATTCTAATCATATCTTAGTCAAATTCTAAATCTTAGACTAATCTTTATGAAATCCTAATCAAATCCTAATTAAATTCTAATAAATCTTAATTAAGCTCTAAATAAATCCTAAATCCTATAGCAGATTAAAATATCAATAATTAATGGTTGAATCATTGATTTGGACTCAAACTTTGTATAATTTTTAATAATTTAGTTAAAAATAAGTAAAAAAAAAAAATAATATCAATTGGACTTATCAATTGAAAGAAATATATAATATTCCATTTGGATGTTGGATGTCTTCCTTTTCCAACCTTAATGCTAAGCTCTAAGTGACAATATCTCCTTTAAAAACTATTAAATTGCTCTCAAATTTCATACAAAAATTAAAAATAAAGTCTTTTATCTATACAATTTTTACTTCAATCTAATTGAAATATTATTGGAGATCTTAAAAACTCTCAGTAACCTTCAAAATCTAATTTCTAAGATCTCAACTTACTTGAACTTCAATAGCCTTCAACCTAATTATTAGATTAAGCTCAAATTTATATCACATATTTAACACAATTATATTCACAAATATACAAATTTTTACATATAAATCTATTATGAATCTCACAATATTGTCCAAAATGATAATCCTATTTTATTTCATAAAATCCAAAATCACCCAAGACAACCTTAACTTTATAAAGCTCTTACAAAGTCATTACAAACTCAAATCCCTAAAAATTTTAACTCAAAGAAGTTTAACTCTATGTGCTCTCAAATCTTAGTTTTTAATTTATAAAAGAACCTTAGAAATAGTGTAGTTACTTGGTTTTATGCTTCAAAATCTGATTTCAACCCTAGTTGGCAATAGATCCTCTCTAGGCATCAATTCTTATTTTTTTAAGGTAATTTTATTAAAGACAATACCTAACTTCTCCCTACATATACTTATATTCTTTATTTTTCTAATCTACCTTAATTTTTTTATTTATGGCCATATAAAACAAATATAATCTATTTTTATAAAAGGTAATTCTAACACTATAATATTTTACTACCATCTTATCTTTTATCTATATTTTTTTATTATATCTTTTAATTAGGCTATTTTGTAATAATTTTTTTTTTTTTTTTTTTTTTATCTAATGGCTATATTGCTATATGATATGACTATCCTTAATTGAAATATGTTGCAACTTGATGTTGTATCAATTTATTTAAATAAAAAACTTAAAGAAGAAGACATTTATATGAAGATTCTAGAAGATTTGAAAGTTTCATTGGAATACAAAGGCAAGGTGTTGCAATTGCTAAAGTTTTTATAAGCTTTCAAGCAATCTGAACACGGATAGAATGAAAGTTTGGATAAATCATTGTTAAATCTTAATTGAAAGTGCTCGGAATCAGACCCTTATTTGTATACAATGTACATTGACGAACTAGTTCTTGCACTAATTATTTATATCAATGACATATTTATTAGTGGCAAGAACTTTGAGATCCTTGTGAAATATAAAGAAAAATTGCAAGAAAGCTACAAGATGAAGGACATTGGTGAAACTAATGATGTTTTTCATATTAATTTTTTGAAATATAAGAAAAATGATATGATTAATTTGAGCCAAATTAAGTATATTTGTTGAAAGTTGGATAAAAGATGTAAAGATAGTTGCTACACCAATGATACAAAGTCATATCACTAAGCATAAGAATGATGATCTTTTGGATGCAAAAGATGTATAGCTTTATCAAAAAGCTTTAGGTTTGTTATTGTACGTTGCAAATGGTACAAGGTATGACATTGCATTTGTTGATCAACACTTTGCTCAATATATGGCACATCCATATGTTCTATATTGACAAAGAATCAAATAAATATTTTATTACTTGCGAGGAATAAAATATTTGATATTGTAGTATGGAAGAAAGGAAGCAAATTTGCAATTTGTAGGCTATAGTGATGCAAATGGACCAGATTGTGTAGAGATGTGTCTTTTAGTAGGAGGATATGCATTTGTACAAGGCAAAGCAATTATCATTTAGTCAAGCAAGAAACAATCTTTAGTACAAATGCAAAGTATACAACTTTGATTGGTGCAACAAAAGAGACTTTGTAGCTTTGTAAAGTATTTAAGAATTATGAAATTCTTGAGCCAAAAAGGATTCTCATTTATGAAGATAATTAGAATGCCATTTCTTTTGTTAAGAATCCAACACACCATGGTCGTACAAAGTATTGGAATATAAAACATCATTTTATTAACCAATGTATGGAGAAAGGACAAATTAGTTTGGGATATTGTCCCATGGAGTAGATGGTGGTAAACATCTTTACAAAACTTCTTCCTAGAGATAAGTTTCTAGCTTTTAGGAATATGTTAGGTCTTATTTCAATAGAAAATTAAGTCCCACTTTTGGAAAAGGACTATTGAATGTCCCATATTATATGTACCCAAAGCTATGACTTATCTAACTCTTAACTAAGACACCAAAAGTGCTCTCTTCTTGGCTTTTGGCACATTTCGTTTGCAGCAAATGATATCCATCATGCTTTCATAACACATCCGGTTTTTTAACAACTTAGATCTCCAAAAGATCCAATTGATTCACCATTCATCTCGAAATCCTAACTTTGCATGGAAAATGCAGGTATATTGCTCAAAAGGCCTGGCCTAGAGCCTAATCTTTCCTACAAAACATAGATCATCTTTAGTCAGGGCTTTGCAGGGCAGTCTGCACTTGAACTTATAGATCCACTATTTGGAAAAACAGTTACATTAACTTACATCTTCAACGATCCAGGAGGGTCCTAATTTATCCAGGCGACTGCCATTCTTCCTGCATGGCTGCAAGGACCACCTCAAGTGAAACCCAAATCTATTGAAGGCATCATTATTAAAGTAGATATGAAGGTTGCTCCATGACATGACATGAGTGGAGCAGCTGCTCCTGTACAGCCTCATCAACTAAAGCTCAAAGTTGAACTTTCTTATTCCTAGCGTTTAGCTTGGCTGCAAGGTTCAAATCAGCTAGATTCGGGAAGTAACAGCTACAGTGACAAATTGTGATCCAACTTGCTAGATTCAGGAAGTAACAGCCACAGTGACAAATTGTGATCCAACTTACTGTGTGGACGCTAAGGGAACCATCCGTTTCACATTCATGCACATTGTACCCCGCTTGGACATGTTAAATAGCAATTACAATCAACCTTTTTTCTACCTGTCATCTGAATATGCTACTCTATTACTAAAAAATAGGAAATGTATTCCCTTGGTTCAGTAATCTTGTACTCATCTTCACGACTAATAACTGAGTCTGAGACCCACTCGATAGACATTGAATTACCACTATTGTAGTAATGTCAGTGCAATGAGCTGTAAGCCTGTATTTCACCAACGAAGTTCCGTTTGCCTCTTAATACTCGAGTGAACATTGTTTGTGGCACGATTTTTCATTTATTCCTTAAATTACCTATGTGTTAGGAGGACCCATATTTTCTGTATTGGTGCAGATTTGACCTGGAATCCAGAGGTTCTGTTGATAAGAAGCGAGGGCATTAATTTCCGAGCAAGCAATCAGTACTGACGATGTCAGGGCAACAAGGTGTGCATGTACCTCCTTGTCATCTACTTTATGGATGGAGCATCGGGCTTCGGCTGAAGCACACTTTCGGCATGCTGAGATTGATTCTATTCTTGTCTTCACTTCCAGAGCCCTCCACTCCAGGATACACATAACGACCACACTCCCAAGTCTTCGAACTACTTCCTTTCACTGTATTGTATAAGTTGTGCACTTTCTGCAACGACGGGGGGAAACTCCCCTTTCTCAACCAGGTAGATGAGATATAGATCAACTGGCAATTGCTGACTTTCATGGGCACACGTTTCATTGCATTATCTGAGCTGCTATTCATTGCCGAGCAGCTTCTTCACTAAATCGTAGAGTCGAAGGGAAGAGTCCGTCCGTTTCAACAACCATTACTTCACTGACTGGGCAGTTACGACTGTTCAGTCCGCAAGGATTACAAATACATGATTCATTGTACTAGTTTGATGTCTTGATGAGCCGACGAAGGGAAGTCGCTTCGAAGAGTCCTTTCTAACTTTGTGATCATCTACTGCAAGAATTCTGTTTCTTTTGAAATCGTTTAATTTTTTTTGTTGACATGCATGTGTCTTCAGGAGAAGGAACTGAAACTATGGATAGGCTGGCTGCTCTTCTGATTGCACTTTTCTGCCTTTTAGCGACAGTTCTGAAGGTGGAATCCGAAGGTCTTGTGTACGATTATTACGCGAACTCTTGTCCCAATGCTGAGAAAATCATCCACGACACTGTGTACAAGCTTTACGAGAAGAAGGGCAACATCGCGACTTCCTTGATTCGTTACGTCTTTCATGATTGCTTCGATGTAAGATTCCTTTCTGCGCCTAACTTCAAATTTGGTGCAACGTCTGATTATATGAATGCAACCTCATTATTCCATGAATTAAACGATGTGTACTTGGCATTCACAGAGCTGCGATGCATCCGTCCTGCTCGAGTCTAGCAAAGGTGTGCCCGCTGAAAAGGAATCACACTCGCAAGTCGGAATGCGAAACGGGAAGTGGATTAACAATATCAAGAAGGCTGTCGAAGATAGTTGCCCTGGGGTGGTCTCGTGTGCGGATGTCCTCGCCCTTGGAGGTGCCGCAGGAGCCCAAGTGGTGAGCCAAGTCTTCATATTCTGAGGATAGCTTCAGATTGTCTACATATATTCCTGTACTCATCTCATTCATCTATTTTGTTTTGCTTTGCAGCTGGGAGGGCCTGCAATCAAATTGAAAACTGGACGGAAAGATTCTCGTGTCAGTCTAAAGTCGGTAGCTGACACTGGCATACCCACACCTCAAAGCAACGTGTCTTTCGTCCTGGACTATTTCAGCAAAATGGGAATCAATACCGAAGAGACTGTTGCTCTTCTAGGTAAATGCTTTTGTGCTTTCATTTGGAAGTCGTTCTTATGGCACTGCCAATCCACAAGATCTATTCTCTCATTGGCTTTTGAAAATCGTTATGTAGCTGCATTAGACTCAATGGCACTGAACGTCTAGGGTTTACGGCTTGTTATTGAACAGGTGCCCACACGATCGGAAGAGCGCATTGCGTCTCCTTCGAAGAGAGGATCTACCCCACCGTTGACCCTAAGATGGACCCCGTGTTCGCAAGCATGCTCAAATACCGATGCCCTCAGCAGAAAACAGGGGCAGAGCCGGTGCACTTCACATACTTTCGCAACGACGAGCAATCGCCTATGGCGTTTGATAACCATTACTACGTCAATCTGATGGCTAATCAAGGCTTGCTGCACATAGATTCTGAGATTGCTTGGGACTCGAGAACGAAGCTATTCGTAGTGGAGTACGCCAAGGACAACGCTTTGTGGCACAAGAACTTCGCAACGGCTTTCACCAAGTTGAGTGAACATAATCCTCTGACAGGTACTCAAGGGGAGGTCCGAAAGCATTGTTCTTACACTCTGTAAGTTAATTAGATATGTACGATATATATGCTTGCTTTCACATGGCAGCAGAGTCCAATGGGCGTTCTTGCTCCATTATAACATATTGTGTATTCTCCAGCAGTAGCAACCTCGCTATATTCGTCTTCGACCTCTTACATGCAGAAAGATTGCTTTCCTAAGCAGAAAAGAAATAAATGTATATACATTCTAATCTATGCCATAAACCAATTTAGAGAAAATTCTACTTCGTTGAAATGATCAACACTGTCAAACGTTTTATCTGGAGCGTGTCAGGCATTACTTCACATTGCGTGATAATGTCCACATAATTCAACACTGTCGATTACATCAGTCAGCCGAATTTGGATGCTTCGGAAAAAACAAACATACCAGCACAAAATTAAATAAATAACACCATGCCAAATACTAAGTTGTGCAACATCAGGACAAAACTGCACCTCAGCGAATCAAGTCGCCAGGCGAACCCGCGCGGTGGTGAATAAGAAACGTCTGCAGACCGATTGGCAGGAGATTCACAGTATTTCAATGCAGAAGATTCCGCCGTCGGTCTGAGTCACTTGACCGTATCATTGACGCAGTTATCACCCGCCTTACTTGCACCTCAAGGCTTTACACACTAAAATCAAACCACAAGAAACAAACTAATTGGTGCTGGAAACATCACCGAGACTATCTACCGTCTGGACGAGAGCTAAAGAATTACTGGGCACATAACTGGCATACATGTGACTTGGTTCATAGCTTTGCAAATTACTGATCTCACCTATACACAACCTAGAAAGCTTCCAGTCTGCTCAACTTTAGGCCAACGTATCGACATCCCACCAGCCATGAAACTTGCAAGGGATTTAAGTGAGCTAACATAACTTAGAAAATCATCACATGCATTTTACAAAGCTCTTGATGAGTCAGTGGACAAATACATCATACATCGAATTTTCTTCAGTCACATACCACAGTAAGACTGCTACAGAGATTAAATTTCAAGGTAACAAATAAACCCATTTAACCTGGAGGGAAAATTATGTAACAAAAACATAAGCACTTTACAGAAATGGTAAAAGTCAATCCATTACAGGAGCACAGTTTCTAGTCCACCGTTAAAGAACAATCACACCAACAAAACTGTTCGCAAAACGGGATCAATCTAAAAGTCAACACTTTTGTCAGAACACCTAGCAAGCAATATCATCTGAAAATAACCCGAAAGGAACAAGTAATAAAACAAATGCTGAGCAGACCATGACAGCATCTTACACAATGACGAACATGCTTCAAAAAACAAACAATAGCATCACAAGCTATGTTTGAAAAAATAAATAAACAAATGAAAAAGAGCACAAAGAATCATGTAAGCTGGCAGAGAACAGAAGCATACAACTTTATCAACTTGTTGTGTTCTGATATCAGAACTGAGAAATCCATAACACTCAAATAAATCACAAAGCAAAGCACATCACATCACACAACCATACTGATGCATTAAAAAATCCTCAAGTACAAATGAGAATACGATTTCACTCCAATAAAATCCTCATATCATCTACAACAATAGCAGCAGATGACGAATTCGTACTATAGACATCAATCATTGTACAAGAGTCTGAAAGTACCAACTCGGAATGTAGCAAATGCAACCCTGAGCCATCCTAAATTACTTGAAGCACCACTTCACAAACTCAGATAAACCCTAGCTCCTATTGCCCATTCTGCCATCACCGAATACGAGGACTCGCATCAGCAACATTTCTTCTCTTGAGAGACACCTGCACTGCACGACCAGCTCCAACTCATACCGGACGGTGAAGATAAGTCCACCGAAACCGGATCTTTGGGGAAATGATCGCTTGCTACAACATCGGGAAGCTGCTGGCGCTTATGCATTGTAGCGCATAGACACGAAGGGCTGTAAATCGTCCACCTCACCTGTCAAGCATCATTGCTGGATCCCAGGTCTGTACCACCTTGCACACTCATCATGTCTCCAACCTGCAGCTTCACTTCGAAAACCCTCATGCCAAGTCTGGTACACACCATAACCAACTTCGCGGCTCCGTCTTATCACAATGCTAGAATGATTCGCTCTCGCCGCATCTCTCACGCAACCCCAGAGCCCTTCATCTTCTGCACCTCAAACGACTCGTTTCCCGCTTTGCTCTTCCAACAGAGCCTCCACACGTACCAAGCAGCTTGCCACTTCTTGCGTACCTTGGGAGATGATTGAAAAAAGAAGGAAAAAAGAAGAAACTTTCCAAACACCATGCCGCTTTCCATTTCGCACCTAAACCCCTCATCTGGAGCTTGTGGGAAACAACGACAGCAGCCGCTTCTCAGGAGAGTTCGCTCGCTTCTCCATATAGCTGTGATGGTTCTGGCTAAGCACACTCTGGTGATTCCCATTCTCGCTTTCAGATATGTGTTCCGTTCGGTCCTTCATTGGTGGACGCTGCAGGAACCCCCTGTTCACAACCCCATATGGCATACGGTCGTACACACTGAAATGGGCCGGCCCCAGAGGCCCTCCCCCCACGCCTTTGTACGGCATAGGGGGGACGGTCGCCGGCGGAAACGACGGACCACCAACATCCTCGCGCTGGTTTGCCATGTAATGCAGGCCCAGATTCGGAGGTAGTGGAGTTGACGAGAACAGCTGATCATTTGCAGGTGGTCCGTCAGACGACAAACCCTGCATTCTCTTCAGGTACAACCGATACTTCTGCAAGTGCGACGCCACGTTCTCCCTCGTCAACCCTTCCACGTTCATTAACTGCATGATCGTCTTCGGCACTGCGTTCTTGATGCCCAAGTGCCCCACCGCGTCCACAAACCGCTTGTGCAACTGAGGAGTCCACACCAACCGGGGTCTCTTCAACGTCCGCGCGTTTGTCTCCTCGTTGCTGTTCACCGGTCCCCCTCCTGAATCCGTATCCTCAAAATCCGAATCCGCCAGCTTTCGAGCGTTTTTCGCACAACCACCACCCTTGCTACTATCGTCCCCTCTCCCACCGTACGACGAACTATCCGGCCTTCTCTCATACGGCGAGCCATAAGCTGGCAAACCGTTCATCATGAAAGGAAGACCAGAACTGTGCTCAGACCTCCCCTCGCTCGGCTGGTGACTCGTGCCATCGCTTCCGCCCCTGAAAACGGTCGGCATCGGGTGTCCACCGTGACCATGGGAATAACTTGCACTATGCGAGCAGCAGTTCTGTTTCTCAGCAACCGTAGCTCTGTCGTTGTCTCTGCCACCGCCTCCGCTTCCTAGTCCTAGTCCTAGCCCTACTTCTACTTCCGCTTCTATTTCGGGTTCCTCGGCCCCTCGGGTCTCACCTCGAACCTCCCCTCTCGCATCACTACGCCCTTCGCCTGTGGCAATGCTCCCACCTCTCCCTCCCACGTGTCCATCTCCTCGTCCGCCTCCATCGTCTCGAACCTCCGATGCGCAAACAAAACTCCCTGCACGAAATTCAACCCACCCACACCATTGCTCAGGCATCTGGACCCACGCACCGCACGGAAACAACAACACGCAAACTCTTCAGCAGTGGCCACGTCCGACATTCCCTCCCGCCCACATCTACACCACCACCATTACTTCCAACACGACGAACAACACATTAATCATAACATCTAGAAACTACCCCAAAAAATTCTGCACATGCACAATGTCACCGCTTCCCAGATAACATCACAACCTCAATCGCCAGCTCTCACGCTTGCAAATCCCATCCCACACACACCGCGAGGTAAGCTCACACGCTCATACCCCATTCACGAATGGACTTTCGCGTTACCTGCATCTTTGCGTTCTTTGAACAGCGGTAGTGCCTCGAACGACATCGGACTGAATCTCTGGACCTGCGAGTCAAGAAAACTGGCACGCGACTCTCCACTCACGTCGGCCGCCGTCTTCAGCGGCTCTGGCTTCATGCTCAAGCCAGATGCCAGAACAAGGGATATCAAGGACTTGGATGTGGGGTTCAGTTCTTCTCCAGTGGGCAACCCAGGGTTCCACTCCACCACATGGTCGCCATCCTTCATCGTCATGTCCACTACCCTCCGTCTCTCGCACGCATGCATGAAGCCACAAATTCTTCTCCCCCTCACCCACTGCCGTCCCCAGGACAACACACCGCCTTAGTCCAAATCGAAATGCTCTAGGGTCGAAACGCCACTCGCTCACTTGACCGCCACACCTTAACAAATCCTCAAAATTTGCCGGGAACCTTAATGCAAGTAATCACCGCCATCAGCATCTCGTGGGGTCGTGTTGCGTCAGTGGCCCATCGCCTCCTAAATTTACTGCAACCACAACCATTGTAAACAACTGATTGACGCACTGTCTATTACTGCCGAATCCTTCCACTCTCCTACTCTTCCTCCCGTCCTCGTTCGAGATTAATTGGGAGACAAACCCCATCCCCACAACGAACTCAAGTGCGAGTGACCCCCACAATTACACACTCCACCTACCACGTCTAATCCACCCTTTCGGTATCTCCATTCCTCCTACAGCTCGCACCCAGGCGCTCGCCCCCGGAACGCCTTGTCCAAAGCTGAAACGCTGCCACACTAACCTCGGATCACCTCCTACTCTCACTCGAGCAATGGCCTCTCCCTCAAACGTACTGAGCACGATGCGCCCATTCAAGCCCACAGCAACCGGGGCGAGAAAGAATGGCATCACACCGAGCACGTCCCAGTGTGGCCCGTTACGGCTTCGCAGCACAGGCGACGAGCATAGGATGACTTCTGCCTCACACCCTAGCGTGGATCCTATTCCACTCGTTTCCAAGGGACAAACCCCAAACACTATGCTCTCTGTGTTTCGTTCTAGGAATTTTCTGCGCAAGACACCAGATCTCGTACCTCCTGTGAACGCGTGCACCGGATCTCTTCTCCAAACCCGCACGTACTCCCTAACGCGACGAGCGGCTGGGAGGGCACTGAACGCCACCGTCCTCCCCAACCCTCCGCCATGTCGGTTTCAGCAACATGATCGAACCAACCCCGCCAGAACGCACTCCCCGGACGTTGTCTGGACTCCGTCGCCAACTTGCCGCCGCCGCCGCCGCGCTTCAGCACCTCGGTCTACCACAATCTCTCCCTCTCAAATTCGTCAGACTTCTCTCCAACGACCCAAACGTTCTTCACGTGCCCAATCTTCAACCAACTCGTCCAAATCTTCTCCCTCTCTTACCAACAATGGGCCAAATCCTGCGTCCTCTACAGCAGGACTTCCACTCCCACAAAACCCCTCGAAGCTTGAAAGGATTTTCTCGCGAGTGGCAAGTCAGCACCAAGGAGCAGGTCAAGCTCCGCCCTTGCACACCCAGCTCTCGTGCAACACAATTCAACTCCTCCCCATAACTCCTGCTCGCTCCCGCCGCACATTCCAGCTACTCCTCTGTTCCGAGAACCCCAAATCACGCCCCTGACCCCGTGCCAGCGTTCCAACCCCGCCCCCAGGAAAACAAACTTCCTCCGGAAAATGCTCAAGATCAGAAACCGCCCGTCTTCCTCTCCACCTGGATCCTCCTGCCCGTTGCCCCGACACACCAGACAACGCGACCAGATCCTCCTAGATACGTAACGAACCGAATCACATCCAGCTCCCAATTCCACGCACTACTACCATGACCAGCGTCGCCTCGCCACCGGTCAACACCCTCCCTCCCTACCCCCCCCCCCACCGCCCCCACCACCACGGTAAAGCACTAGCCCTTGCTACTTCCTCCACCGTCTCCAAGGGAAGGCTAAAAATTTATTATTCTTTTTCCCAAATGTTTTTTGAAAATCAATCAATCACCCAATCACCCAATCAGCTTAGCGATCTAAACCCGACTCCACCGAGCTCCACTGCCAAGGTTACGTCTCTGAATCCTGCAGCAGCGCCGCTGCTGATCCCATCCGCCCGGAAAAAGGATGGCAAGCTGAGCCGAGGTAAGCGTGGCCGCTCACGATGGCTCGCCTCGTCGCGACACCACTGCCGTGTAGCGACACACCCGGGCCTGCTCGTCAGCCTTACCCAGTTAAGCTGCAGTCTCACCGTCAGGTCGGTCGGTATCACCCCATCCCCCACTCCTCCACTGGCTAGCCAGGAGCGATTGCCGGAAGAAGAATCAATGCGGATCCTGGCACGGTACCTGTACCCGCATGGCCTCTCCCAGAGGTCGTAAGAATCTGTCTGTCCCAAAGGCTGATCCTCTGTTTTACTCTCTCCCCCGCCCCCTTCAATGGCATCGCTCCCCTGCTAATGATGCTGCTGCTCCTTCATCCCCTGTCGCCGCTGGCTCCCTCTTCCCATTGTGTGTCCTGGTGATCAGTCCATATTCCCATTTTCTCTTCCCTTGCCACCTCATCCGTTCCTCTTGTTTCTTTGTCTGCCTGTGTACCTCCACTTCCATACCCAGTCCATATACTTCTCATGTCTGCCATTACCTACGCCTTATTATTGGGTGCCATTACGGTTCTTATAAAGGCTGAGAAATACCGTATCCCTGTATTTGTCGATTGCGCGTCAGGATGACGGTCCACGAGACCTCTCCGATACTTTTCCTTTTACATCTCTCTCTTGTTTCTTTTCATAAGAAGGATCTTGATGGCGTTATCTTACTTCATTCCACTCATCCCCCCCTCCAATTTGTGTCCTTTGCAGTCCTTTCCATTATGGCGTCGGATGAGTTGTTGCTTGATATCACATGCTTCTATTGAAACCCCGCAGCATTTTACCTGCCGGACTTTAGTGGAAAACCCAGTGTAATGAGATTACCACACCGAACGAAGAAGAAAATTATATGTATATAGTAAACAAAAAAATAACTTTGTTAAGCTTCTGTTTAAAATACTAAATCCAACACAGGACTGAGCTTGTGAGCGACATTGCCGTCTTTGTGGCTGTATCGTTGTGATCCGTGGCCAAGGATCACAACGATACAGCCACAAAGACCTTAAGTTTTATAATGTTTTTTCCTGTAACTGAATCGCAGATCTGTAACTGACCGCGGAATTACGAAAGGAACCCACAATTGCCAAAGGAAGATTTTTCTCCTTTTCCTCAACTTTTCTATACATATCTACATAAACATGTATGTATCTATACTCATTCATTATGGGGATAGGTTCTCGAAATGGATTTGGCTGTTGGTTTTGTGCCATCTGTCAGCCGAATCTGCGTGATGCGGGTATTAAAAGCAATATGCTTTCGGCTCTGTATGAAAGTTCCTGGTACCCATAAAATAATCAACCAAATTCCCAAGCAGGGATTCCATTTGAAATGATGAGCAACTCCATGCAAATCTTGTGGGCGGAAGGATATGTGGTATTGGATGAACATTAGAATTTCTTTTCTTCCCTACCCTACTTAACAAAACTAATAGACAGAAATCTCTTTGATATCTTAACCTTTCCTGCCACTGTAAAAAAATTAATTTTACTCTCATTTTTCCCATCAAGGCATAGGCATGATTTCATGCAGATGATATGAGTGAGAGTGGGATGTTGTCATAGGTTGTGTCACTTGTTGGTTGTATCCATCATTCTTCTGGAATGAATTGGAGCAATTGAAGGATTATTACTAATATACTGTATTTGTGTGCCACTTTGCTCAATCATGTCAACAAAGTCCAAGTCAGTGATTGGGGCTCAGACACTATAATGGGTTCAAAAAGCATTGTTGGTGCACAACTGCCAGGTAGCATAAAAAGAAAGCTTTCAAAACCCAACTTTATATAATTATCTGGATTGGATCCATTGTCTGAACAGAAAAATAATCTTGAATCAAAATATCTGATACAACAAGGAATTTGGTTTGCTTGTTTGTTATGGAAAGCAATTGACTTTGGCTGCTTTAAGAAATATTTTATTCATACTTTTCGTTTCCTGTCTAAATGAAGTTGGCTCTAAAACAAGGGTCTTCTTGTTATGCTAAACATGAGTGTTTTTAGACTAGATATTGTTGTTTGAAGAATATGTATGTGTGTACCTATATATATATATATATATATACATATATAGATAGACGTTGATCTACAGGTGATAATGAGATTAGCAACCAACATGAATTTTCTATGTTGTGTTTAATTTATCAACATGACTATTAATTTAAAGGAAACAATTTTATCATCTTTTGCAATTTGCTTGTGTAGAATGGTAACTACTATTGGTGGTAATAATAATCACCATATATTTACATGTAAAGAATTAGAATGAGCACATTATGCTAAGTCTTGATTCAAGATATCAGTAAAAACAACTGCAATAGCTATTTTTTTTCATTTCACATGTCTAATTAATTTTAAAACTTCCAATCTAAACTAGGTGATACAGGTCAGATGTTTGCTCAATGAATTTAGAACTTCCATTAAATTCAAAGCATACATATTTAAAATCAAAACATAGGATTGGATTATCAAGGTGGATGACCAAATTATGAAATATAACTTACATGTTTTCAAACTTTTTTCAGATAATATAAACAGTTTTAATAATATTTGGTATTGAATATGGCATCAAATGTATGAATTAATAATCTTAATTGCAACTAGAACAATTGTGTGTTACATTGAAACACTGTTTAAAAGTTTATTCTAAAAAAAAAATCAAATAAGTATTCAGTGTTGACATAGTTTAGTGTGAACAATTTTAAAGTTCATTGCGTTCCATGTTTAGTATTTTAATTAATTTACATAATCTTCTGAAGACAACTTGTTCTTATTTTCTATACACACACATACGTACAATCTGCTTGAATGTGTGAAAACATGTTCATGTACATGTTTATTTATATATTCAAATACATGCAACCATTTTGACTAATTTCTGTATTTGTTTGGGTCCCATTCAATGTATTCATTTATCCTGTTAAGTCAAACTTAATAAAATAAATAAATAAAGTCACAGTACGTACATACAGTGGGATTTCACATTATCCTAAAACACTTCATGCAATTTATGGCAGTAGGAAAAAGTTGATAATCATGAAGCTGTTCACGCTCCACAAGCAATAATAATAATCATAATAACAATAAGTATTTGATAGGTAACTATTTCATCAAAGTCATAGAAAAACCCAACACTTAAAAATAAAAAGTCCAAGACTACCCACTCTTACTGAATTTGACAAGCCAAATGAAAGGCAGCACAGATGGCTGATGATGTCATGTGTCATAAAACTAAGCTTTGGAAAGGGCCTCAGATGCAAGCAAAAAATGTCTGCCACTTCATCCTGTCTTCATGTTTTCAGTCTGCAGATGTTGATACACTCCTTCATTTCTTTCTTTCTACACATTGAAAGAACTTGGCAAAATGCAACTTCTTTGAATGTGATTGTGGATAAGGCTTACCATGAATCTGTCCTAGCTGTGGGTTATTACAATACAATATTCAGTTTCTAAGGCTTTATCCCTCTGCTTCTTTATCTTTATCTTTTCTTTTTTTCTTTTTTTTTTTGCTTCTATTATATGGCATTTCTTCTGGGTGGCTTATTCAATTCCGGCACATCTTTCATTGTTACAGCCAATTGACAATTTCAACTAAGAAGCTACAAAAATAACTTCTGTGTCACCATTCTTATCAAAACATTTATTTATAAAACCATTATATATGTATATATATATATATAAGAACAGAAAGCAAGGAGGTAGATGCAGATTGTGAGATTAGAAAATGACATAAACACTGCTCACATCATACCACTACACTGTATTCTTTGCTTGCATCTGAGGCTGTAGCTAGCTAAGAATGTAACACGATCATCTCATTCTCATCCAATAATTCTGTTGCTGTGTAATTCATCAGCTCTATTACTTCACTTTCTTCTGTTTCCCCCCTCTATATCTGTTCCTTCATTCATGATGCCCAGTATTATCATCATCACTCAAAACCACTGTAAAAAGGAAGACAAGAAGACCATCCAAAATGGAGAAATCCCTAGGTTGACAAAACCCCAATTTATTCAAGGGGAATTTACATGTAGGGGAACAAATGCAAAAGTACTTTCAAATCAGGGAAGGATTTGACAATAACTACATATAGGGGAACACTCTTTTTATCCATTGGTAGAGGGCATTAATGAAGGGCCATCAAAGATGATGCAAACAGTGAAAATTGTTGTGCCAGTTGTCTACAGCACTTTGCTACTGCTCTTCTCTATACCTCTCTACATTCAAATTGCTTTTTTATCTTAGAAAATGCAAAAACTCCATTGTGTTAAATAATACAAAAACTTTTCTATAGTAGATGATAAACATACAATGTGTGGGAAGTAGACCTCTCAGGATACTACGACAACACCAAACAAATCTAACATTTTAGAGGCTAACTTATATACAGAAAGGAGTATGATAATCATAACAAGGTGTAATGTTGTGTGATTAATTTCTCCCAATTGTGCTATGCCCTTATATGTAAAAAATGCATATGGATTATTTTTATGTTAAGTATGATCATTAAGCTAAAAAATAAGCTCATGATCATGAATTTCAAGATCATTGATGCATGCGACATGCAAATCTTCATTGCCAAAGGTGGTGGATCCATAATACATAGCATAAGCAATGTCATCATGACCAGCCTTTATATTCACAACATTAAGCCCAGTGGACCTGCTTATTTACAACATCAAGCCCAGTGGACCTGCTTATTTATAACATCAAG